GAACGGAAGAACACATGCAATTTTTTTTTTCTGTGGTAGCTGCAAGGTTTCTTGGTTTTTAGTTATGTGGAATTTCAGTGGTCAAACTCAATGGTTTTTCTCTCAGATCTAACCTTGATGGAACGTGTTGCATCCTGAATGTATATTGCGATTCTTTAATCCCCCCCCCACCCACACACCTCTTTATTGCAACTATACTTTAGGTCCCTGTCAGTATTATTTTTGTGTGCAATTATATTTCCTACTGTAGAAAATAATGTGGGAAATTGGAGTACAATTCAAGTTGTGAAAAAAGTTGTGATCATATACAGTCAGAGCCACTTAAATGAGGCAATAGACAAAACTGAATCAAACCGATTGGTTTCACTCTCGTGTTAACTGCAGTTTCAATCATGTTAAAATTACATTCTGAAACCATATAATTTGGTGCATATTCATACTAAACATTTGACATGTTTTGCTGAAAGCAAGAAGATATCTGTTAAGATCCCAACTCGGTCTACCTACTGTTAAAATGTCACTTTGGGGTAGATTTTCATCTATCTCTCATCTCTGTTGATGCTTTACATAAGAGGGGTAATTCACCCAAAAATGAAAATTCTGTCATTAATTACTCACCCTCATGTCGTTTCCAAACCTGTAAGATCTTCATACATCTTCGGAACACAAATTAAGATATTTTTGATGAAATCTGAGAGCTTTCTGACCCTGCATAGACAGCAACGCAACGGACACGTTCAAGGCCACGAAACGTAGTAGGGACATCGTTAAAATAGTTCATGCGACATCAGTTCAAACTTAATTTTATGAAGCTACGAGTCAGTACGAGAATACTTTGTGCACAAAGAAAACTAAAATAATGACTTTATTCAACAATTTCTTTTCTTCTGTGTCAGTTAGCACAATTATCGTTCTTTTCTGTCTTTTTTTTAATTAACATTTGAAAGATCCACCCACCATATCAGGTGCTGTTTCCACCATCTGTAGAACTTGTCACCACCCTCATTTGTTTGTCTGACACCTGACCTGAAATGCCCTCGCTACAGAGCTGTGGAGCTCCCAGCATGCTGGTCTCTCAGGCCATGTGATTTGCTGTATCGATCCCTCATAATGCTACATTATTAGCTGAGTATCTGCAGTCTCAACATTCAGTTGTCGTTTTTCTAGTAGTCTTAAAATGCTCTTTTCATAGGTAACTCATGAAGATTTGATGCGCATGATTGTCCATTCAGGCGGTTTATGGAAAATAGCAAGGCAAAGTAACAAATGAACACCCACGTTTACATATAAACGTATTCAGCAACTTGTCCTGACCTGATGAACTTTAGTTTCACCGCATTGTTTTTGGCAACAGTGTTACAGTGACCAAAAATGTTGTTTTGTACTCGGGCTCCGCATTTATGAAAGTTTATGTGGTTGTTGGTAAACTCCCTGCTTTGTTAGTCTATCGTAACAAGCGTAGTGACCCAACTCTGTGTTTAAGTTTTATTTCAAGATCAAAAAACAGCTGTTATTGATTCCAAGTTTTCACAGAGTTAGAGGCCTGTAAATTCAAAATATTGCGTTCAAGAGGGCTGGCTCTAAACAGCAGGCGTTCTACTTGGGCAGTAAAAAACAGAATGGCAGTACCATGCCAAGTTCTGAGGTGATTAAGACCTTCTGCATGTTTTAATCGCGCCCCTTTATTAGTGTTTACCATTCTGCTCTGGAGAGAATGGGCTGAATTCCTGTCTCATATGCTGTTCTCCCCATTCACCTCACCATGATTTCGCTGGCAGGGATGTCCTGTGGAGAGCACAAGGGAAAAGATCTCAATAATTCAGTAGCATTTCTTCCTAACTTGCCGAAATCGGCACGCAAGGGCAGAGGAGTTACGGTACGCTGTTCTGAATTTAGCCACGGCGGTGCACGCATACCCTTGATTTTGAAACCCTGCTGACACCCCTGACAAGTTCCTTGAATGACCACAACACTTTGTGGTGTCTACTTATAGACTGATGTCA